TAAACGAGACAAACGTACAAGGAAATATGACATAAAATTTATAATCTAAACCTAAACTGCTGACAAAGAAATGTGTATTTCAATTGCTATTCTGTTACCCACAAAGATGTGTGTAGTATAAAAATCGTAGCGTCATGTGAAGCACTAACTCGGCATGTGGCTTTCGAGTTGTTTTTTTTTGCTATAAGTGTTCCGGGTTGCGATATACAAACTGAAAAGACATTGACAAGTTGAAGGATAAAGGGCTTGTCTTCACAGTGACCGCACAATGTGAATGGAACAGAAACAAAATGGAAAACACGGGATGGGTTGCATTGAGGTTTGCATATTGACGTGCATATGGAGCTGAGGCGCACACAAAGAGATTGTATTTTTTAAATAGAAACGAAACAAGCGCACAGTTGAATAGTGAAGTACATGTAATTTTAATAGAAAAAATACGTGTCACACAATGGCGAGTTCAACCTTGAATATAATGGTCTCATGCAATCATTTGGAAAATAAGTTATACATGTTCGTTTGGGCGCACATGTGGAAGAAGTTTGCGTTGTTTAATCTGAACCCCTACAAAAACAAACCACGCCCATTCATATAAAATATGCCCATTATAGTTTGCATCATTTCAAGAACTATGGGCAAGCATCTGTTTAATTAGGTTTCATGATTAATATTATTATTATTCTGGTTTATTAATCATTGTGTTTGTAGCCAGAGGCTAAATTGTCACAATGCGTACAAATTAAAAACACGAAATCAGAAATACAAATTTACTAAAACATGATGCTTCGCTCTCAACCAACACCCGGTACCAAGCGTCCAAGTTGAATTTGTTTCAAACAACATGTTTGCATTCCTCCCACTTGGTAGCAACTTAATGACACGCCCCTGGAATGGCCGGCATTTCAGCCGGCCTTTCAAAAGCTTTAGACAATATTCCCTGCAATTCGTTTTCGCCATTAAAAGATATCCAGAGTATTTCAAAACAAAGTGAAAGTTTCTCCATGCCAAAAGTAAAACGGAACATACGCCTACAAATTCGATTGCTAATGATGCTACGCACAAAAAAAGACAACGTACATGTCAAGCCACATAACTGTTTAATTATTTTCCACACATGCTGTGAGCCGTAAAGGTATGCAGCATTTTCAACGCGATTATCTAGTGACGCAATGACATAATTCGTTATTTACTGAAACACGATTCATCCGATCGATGTCTTATCTTGTTTTCGTTATCGGATCAAATATGATATCTTAGCTAGTCTTTACGAGATTTAATGGTGTGTTTTCGTGGGTCATTAGTCACGTCTACGTGGACAGTATATCTTCGTGCATTGAAGTCACCGGTGTGTTGTTCTTAATTAATTTTTTTTCAGGTGTTTGCAAATGTCAGTGAAACGTTACAGCCATTAATGTGGCTTCTCCATCTCCTAAGTAATTATTATCTATACGTGTAGTAAATTGCTGTCTTACGCTCGTATCACGGATGTCAGCGAGCCGATTGTTTCCGTCCGGGCTGTTTTTGTCACAAATATCCCCTCTGACGTTACAACGCAGTTTCCTAATCTTAAAAACAATAGTCTTTGTTCGTCATGCATGTATATTGTACACTCAACGTAATTGTAAACAAAAATGTCCACCATGATTTGTATTAACCGCACTCCCTGGAAATTAATTTTCTCCCTTTTTTATGCAAACTCATAATAATAAAACATCTCGAACCCTTTTACTCATAAAAAGTACACGCATCAAGCATGATTATGCCCGATGGCATATCCCCAATTTGTTTAATCGCAGTAGGCTAACCACGCATGGAGGAAGGATATAAACCATGCATGCATGAAAGTTGATTCGAGTAAACGGCGCAGACAATTGTAGCCTCTGCCTCTACGTAGGAAACAAATTTGAATACGACACACCAATATTCCTTTATAAGTAATGAGTTAAGAATAGATTTGTGCAGGTAGGTATGTGGGTCGACCGCAAACAAAATGCCAGCAGAAATCACCAACACCTTTTAGTTTTACACACGTAGGCGGCAAGCATAATACTATGTACATTATATTGCAGACGCCCGTCATATAAATACTAAGTTATCCAATGCTATTCAAAACCTACGTATACATTTACTTTGCTAATTTAATAGCATAAATATATTCTGCCTGTCAAGGACGTATATTTATGTTCACGACAGGGGACGATGATGGGAAAGAAATTGTTTTTTTCTCGAAATATATCACTCGTTCGCTGTTATGCATGGTTTTCTATATTCACCACCTTGTGCCGTCGTGTCGTTTTAAACACATACAGGGTGAGCAAAAAAAAGAAACCCAAAATGACAGCTCAATTTTATTAATAAAGTTCTGCATGTAGCACTATCAAAATCTAGGATATGAAAGCCATTAAATAATCTCATTTGAAAAATGGTCCTGTTATTTTGTTTTCCTTTTTTTCACTCACCCTGTAAACTGGAGGAAATTCTTGTCTCGTTCACAACACGCCGGCTACTTTTTGAAAATGTTGATCTCAACTTCTCAAGAGTTATAAAAACCACTTCAAATGTTTAGTCTGGGGCCTACACCTCTAATCCTTCGTGGCAAATAAGATAATTCATGTTTGTAAGTCCTGTCTTTTTTTTCAAAATTGCAAAATTCCAATGAATAAAGAGTACTATCTGAGACACCGTTGGAGCAGTCCAACAACACATAACCCTCGAAGTAAAAAAAAATCACGGTAAAAAAAAATGTTGCTCTAATGCACAACACATCACGGTCAATTGCACTTTTCAGGAGCGCATATATATCGTTCCCGACAGGAGATGTACTTAAGGGAGGATAATATTTACAATTCCCAGAGACATAACGTAAACTTAAACCCCTTTCCAGTTATTGACAGCACTTTGGCAAAGGCCAAAACACTTGAACCGGTATGCTGTAGCGGTCCATTGAAACACGTGTATGAAAATGTGTGCTAAAAATGTCAAGGGATCGATTTCCCATTTGATTTCGTGTCCAGAGTAAAAAAAAAAAGGTTAATTTATACTAGATGGATGGCACATTCGACATTTATTTATTCAATTTAGATTGGATAAAATAATGTGTTGTGCACTTGGTTGGGATTCCTTTATTCCGCGTGCATATTTCTCATTCTTAAAGGGTATTATTTTAAAACGGCTGTTTCATGTTTACGACTTGCAGTGAAGAAGGTGCTTCAATTTAAAACGCAAAAAAAAATTGAAGAAATAGAACAGTCTCAATTCCGAGGATATAAAATGGGCATTTTTTCTGTCAATACACTTCTAATTTGTGGTATACAAGTACGTTTGAAATGAGAAATTAAGTAAATATTTTTTTATAAATGCAGGCATGGATCTATGTCATAAAAATGAAGTCTGGTGTTCCACATAATCTAATCACTACTTGTACACGTCTGCTTAACTCTCTGAACAGAAATTAATTCGCAAAGCAATTAAATATTATACACTCCCCGCGAAAAAGCTATCTACCCCCTCCAATCCCCCCCCCCCCTTCAAAAAAGTGCTTTGCGGTTCAACAAATTTAACAAACCGTTTTGTTTTTGTGAAAGAGTATACAATTACATGTATGTATTACAGGTGTTCTCATACGCGCGTTTATTATTTTGACAGTACACAAAGAAATCACCTGTCTCGATCGCCCTGTTTCGTAATAACTTCCTATGACGTTTGAGATGTCCTTTTTGTTATCAAAGTTGGATCATAAAAGCTTCGATTGTATAACAAGTATGGTGAAATCAATGTAGCTTGTATAAACAAGAATGAGATAACCTCTGACCTTCCGTATTTTTACAATCGAACTCAATATTATTTGCAAGGACACGCATTCTCTGTCAATCAGTTCCCTCACGATTTCGATTTCAATTTGTAATAATATCCAATTCTCTGTTCAAACAAGAATCGGAGAATAAATTCAATTTTGAAAACGCTTAATGGAATCAAGCTTCGGAACGCTGAGACGAAATATGGATTCTCCCCGCCGGTTTCCATGGCAGCAGATGGACGCAAGTTCAGCTAACAAAACCGTCTTCCGGGCGTCAAATTAAGTTAGAGATCCTTAACGTGATCGGACGTGAAACATACCATCCTTTAACTCAAACATCGTGTATGTACACGCTCAACTGCTCGATAAACGCTTCCACTATCTGCTTTTGCACTTCATGAGTACTCGAATGGAATTTTGAATGAGCTTGCTGAAAGTCACTCGCTAAAACAAAACAAAACCTGCGACGACTTGTGTGGGCGTGGCTAAAAAGGTTAACCTTTTAATATTGACTAACGTTTTTGAAGTAGCTGCTGAGAAATTTGTGCAACCTGTTTCACCATCGGCATGCGTATGTACACATCCTTGGTATAACTATATATTTTACTAACGATTGAAAATAGGAACGCCGTCTAATTCCCCAGTAATAATTTTTTTGAGATGAGGATTAAATTTCCTTTCAAATTTAGACTTAAGCTAAAAAAAACTACAAAATATCGGTGCTGTCTTACAAAAAAAGATTAAAAAGAACTTTGTTCTCAAAGATTTTGATCAATATGAGGATTGATGGTCCAGAATACAAGTGAAAATCAAATCACCAAGTCAATACACAAGTCAAGTCACAAAGTGACACAGGATGGACAATGACAAATGAATACCTGTGTCACGTCACAGATCATTTGAATAGCTTGTGACTTAACTTGCAACTGGATGACTTGTGATGGACTTGTGATAGTGACATGTGACCTTTAGTTCCGAACCAATGAATTTGGCACATGAGACCGGCGTTTATGTTCGGTTTCCGCGGCATGAAACGACGGACAATATTTCCACACCCTCCCCGGATGGGATGCCAGCCCATCGCAGGTTACTCCCCTGGTAATGTCGGTATTTTGTTAAGTGGGGTAAAGTGGCTTACCCAAGGACACAATATAATGGCTAGCGGCAAGATTCGAACCCCGACCCTCTGCTTTTATAGGCTTACCTCCATTTCTTTGTTGGTTTTTAATGTGGTGCTATGTACTAATCATCATCGGGGCTGGAGGAGAAATCATCGTTCCTGATCTCGTAAGCTGAGTGCCTGTCCGGAGTGGTATTACCGGGGCTGCCACCCCGTCCTGTTCCGGTGATGTCTTGGGATCTCGACCGCCCACGGATAAAATACTCGTAGTTATTGTTGGTGAGATTTTGTCCGAGTCCCCCATGAGTGGCCGGGTCGTGCACGCTTTTAAAGTCCTGCCAGGCCGACTCGAAGGCCTTGCCGATGAAGGCTACGATCTTCTCAGACTTTTCCCGGGAAGTGCAGATGAAGACGTGGCACATCAAGACGCTACTGTGGGTCTTACAGATGAGGGACACGGCACGAGGGTAGCGCAGGTCCGTAGCGCAGTAGGCTACCGTGGCTATGGGGATGGTTTCGTTTACAAGCCGCTCCTCATCGTCGATGCAGACGCACTGCTTGGAGATGCTCAGGCAGCAGGATTTGTTGAGTGATTTGGGAGACTTGGCCGAGCGGGGAGACTTGGGCATGGCCGGGCTAGACGGTGAGGAGGCCCGGGGTAGCGTGGTGGTCGGTGATGCCAGAGATGATAAAGATGTTGAGGGCGAGACATTCAAGAGATCCTCTGTTGATGAGGCAGGCGAGTGTGTTGCCGTCAGCTCCGGGGCGAGTTTCTTGACCGCGTTGACCGCTTCGCTCACCTGCAGCGTGGTCACCCGCACCCGACCCTGATACTTCACATGGAACTCCTTGGCGGTGAACGACGATCCTGATGTAACGGGTGACGATGATGACAAAGTAGAATCCGGATTGTCCCAAGAATTCCGAGTGCTGTTGAGATGAGGGGGCTTCATCCGCCGCCTCAACATGGACGGGGAGTTCTTCAAAGTAGACAGGAGATTCCTCTTGGTCTTAGGGTGGGTCGGGGAGCAAGACTCGTGGTCCGTAGACAGGGTTACCGTCGGTGGCCGTTGGGGCACCGGTAGAGTTGTAGTGGTGCTGCTGTGATCAGACATGGTTAATCTGATCGCGGGAGCAGCCTGTGTCGGCATCTGCTGTTGGAATGATTACTTTAACCCTCCAAGAAGTTTTTAAAAAAGCAGCAAATATTGATCGAGCAGTAAATCGACTTAAGTTGATGTCTCGACGGCGAAGAAATGAATTCACGATCACGGGCCGGCCGGCCTTATAAATATGACTTGATGATTCGGAAGTAAAGGCCCGTCGCGCCGAGTGACTCATGCGTTGTGTGGTTCCACTCTGTGCCGCAAATTGTTCCCCACTACTTCACTACAAACACACGGTGTAAAGTCCATACGGTAGATCGGTTCTCACATGCTGGTCATGTGAGCCATGCAAACAAAATTATGAATGGGGTGGAAAAACCTTGCAACCAGCGAAACTGCGCGCTGTGTGCACTGACGCCATATACGCACGGAACACGTCATTTAATTACGGCTGTTTCGTGTTGTGACTCACATACCTATTTTGAGCGCAGGCGCGGGTTTTCGTCGGGGGGTCGCAATACATGACGTGAACAGCAGTTTGATGAGCGCTGGGATATATTTAGAACTTAACTACTGAAGTTAATTTTTGATTTATAAAAACTTGAACTCTGATACATCATCATGGGGCGCGTTTTGTTGTTTCACTGACATAATCGACAACACATGTCTCGCCCATGATTGAATGAGTGGACAGGAAAACAGTAGTGCGTGACTTAGTAATTATGGAACAACTCGTTGCCATGGATTCATGCGATATTTTGATTACTAAGTGTGTGACTCTGAATAAGAACGGCCAATTTGACGTGATGTGGGCACTGATTAAATTAAAACTGTGACACAAATTTTCTTGTAGCTTTTACTGTAATTAACAAGAAAACCAGGTTTTTGAATTTCATGTTTCCTTTTTGCCCGTCCGCGAACACGTTCGTTCGGTGCCACAGAAAAGGTCCAGTCTTTACTTGCACTATTTTGCTGGCCATTTAGGCCAAGTAAAAAAAATAAACCAGTTTCTCGTCCCCACCTGCTTCCTTCTTTTGAGTCCCCCTCCTTTTTTCTTTTCTTTTAATTCACACATTTGCAATATTTGGCAAATAATTGTCAATACAGGGTGGTGAAAAAATCTTCGAGCACAAATCGTGAAACAAGTCATCATGTTTAACAATATTTGCTATAACATTCTAATACCCCAAATCCATTTACTAATGAAAATTGCAGCAAGAGCAAATTGTACATTCCCTTTTACCTGTTAACGTTCCCGAAGAACCTGGTTCTTTACAAATAATTTGAAAGTTTAAAAATGAAAGTATGGTTAAAAACGCAAATTAAGTAAAATGCTAATAAAACTTATTTCTTGAGGTGGATTGACGAGACAACAAAATCACAAGGAATAGACGAGAACATCACCATCACCAGGGTCATGGAACAGCCGTTCGGTATTTTGTTCTGAAAGTGATCTGGTTACCTTATTCAAAAGGAAAATGGGCCACTTTCCACCAGCGAACAATGCCACCGGTTTTGCGCCTCACTGACCCAACAAAGACCCGACCCAAGAGAGAAAAACAAATCGCGAATTCATAGCAGTTTCGTTATGCGTTCGGCAACGCCTGAAACGGCAAGTATGATGTCATCGTTAAATGCGGCAGTGATAATATCCTTTAGCGCGTTAACTTTTAACGGTGCACGGTGGCTTTTCCAAACCGCGGTTGTGTCTCTATCGCAGGACCCAGAATCCTTTTCGAGCTTTTCAAATTTAGCCAACACCAATGGTAAGTATACCCTAAACTTTGCACCTGATATAATAATGACATGATGTTTGTGACAAAACGGTCCTGTTGTACTATATGGGTCAGTTTAAAACAAATATCTTGGAGCCCCACCGCAAATGGAGCCGAGGTCTGCAAACATTCTAAAAATTGGGCAAGCAGTGCGTGACAGCGCCCTCTGTTGAAATGTATAGTCCAACTTGCAGTGACGTGCAACAAAACTTTGACCGTATACCGAGACTTTTTCCCCCCTCAGATGACATCATTATATTATAAACCGCAATATCGGCTCAATCCATTGACAAAATAGGATTTGAGTACCTATATTATTAATGGTTCATTTCCGCAAATGCGTGTACACTGAATAACCTTGCCCTCTATGACAAACATTGACCTTACTAATTACAAGTTCACGTTCAAGTTGGCACACTGCATCAGTCGAGAGCTCATTTCTTGTGATTACTGCAAACGAGCCTTCATTCCCTCGCACTCAACCTCGACTAAAGGTAAGGAGTATAATTATTTCAGAACTTTCGTTTATGTTATACACCACGTATGCACTCAAGGTATGGACATGATGGCTTTCACTGATGCCTGAGCAACGTAACATTTCAACACTCTAAAAAATGAAGAGTTGAATTCAACACTTACATGTGTTCGGTCAGTGCAACACTTTGAAAGTGTTAAAATCCAGCATTTTAAATATTAAATCCAACACTTAAAATGTTAATTCAACATTTTAAATGTTGATTATGTTGATTCAACACTTTCAAAGTGTTAAAGTTGAAAAATGTTGAATGAACACTTTACAACATTTAAAATGTTGAATTAACATTGCTAGTGTTGGCTTAAACATTTAAAATGTTGGATTTAACACTTTCAAAGTGTTGCACTGACCGAACACATGTAAGTGTTGAATTCAACACTCCAGTTTTTAGAGTGTAGTTGTTGATGTCACTAACATGGCGCGGCCCCTAACGCGTGGCGCTCTTGATTTTTCGTCTCAAGTGTCTTGCATGCAAGAGCAAAAGGACGTGTTACCTCAAATTTCACAGAAAGTGAAATTGTATCCGGCTCTAAGCATTCCCGTACATAAATCTTAAGTTACCTATTCTTTACAAAATTAAAAGAGAAATTCTGATTTTGGCTTGATTTTCCGATTTCATTTCGAAGTGCACAATGAACATTTTATAAAAAAAAAAAAACCTCCCCAAAATAACCAAATAATATTCTGAAAAACTTGTAGTTGGGTTTGTCAGTGGAAATATATAATACAGGTTTATCGGAATTATTTTGTCAATTTTATGAAATGATTGAATGTTAACGTGGGATTTTCCAAGATTTGTTCAAGTGCGCCACGTTTGAACACTCGGTCGATTTTGTGCCCAATTTCCAGATGCCACCGTTTTTGAATTTCGAACTCAAATTCATGGCACTGAAATTGTACACAAAGGTTCAAAAGCAAGCGTTATTAAGGTTAATGTACCAGTATTTAAACAGAATGAATTTCAAGTTTGTCAACTAAAGATGTTTGTCAACACTGCATAAGTTAAAGTCAAGGGAAAAGTCGACTAAAGTGCGCCACGTTATAGGGGACTCCACTAAACTAGACCGAAGTCTCTCTTGCGCAATATCATGTATATGAGCTGCTATTACGACAGCCCCCCCCCCATACCGTATTACAATCACTCTCTTAAAACTGGGTGTGGTGGTTGAAAACATCTTTTCTCCAGCGCCTTTTTGTTAATTCGATGTAGGCCCCACCAACAGCTGCTTGATCATAAATCTAGATCAAATCATCCCGAATCGGGGAACAACGTATCACACAAATACACTTTTATTGCATTGTAGGTCTCGGATGTGTTATAATGATGTCATGCAGCCTGCATCAGGTGAGCTCTACCTCAAACACTGGTACCGATAATCACCGGGTTCATTATCGAGGTACACTGTACGTATAATATTCAAATTTCGTGTCATGTCATATTGTTCTGCACGACCGCCAAAATTATGTTTGCTAGAATTTCGGAAGTGAAATATCGCCCCCTGTTGCCGACACAAATGGCCATCATGTCAACAAAACGTGCTTTTTTGTTTTCGTTATTGTTCCCTTTGATCAACAGGTGTTTGTGTTCGATTCAATTCAATAAGAATAGACCACGAATGCATTATTCATTGCTGTTCAATGAAGTGTGGTATCGAGCTTCCATCGCCACGGTGAACTAATGCGTAGTTTGCAGCTGGGTGGCAAGTAACGTCGGCCTATTTTAACCGTGCATAATATAATGGGGGTCGTAGGGTCACATCCAACGCACCATTGTCAGATTTCAACACCTTTGGTACTTGGTAGGCACGAACCAAAATAAGTCTTGTTTGCAGAGCACTTCAGAATGGTCGTAAATGTTGAGCAAGCTCGGTGTGCTTTGAGATTGACCTAAAATCTTTTAGGCGGTACCGACTATCGACTGCGTGCATTTGGAAGGTTGAGTGTAATTGGTGGCGTGAGGGCCGCTCGTACAGGTGCAAGATTTGTCCGTTTACTGATCATCATCGGCCTTGAGGAGACCATAACTTGATCACAGAGGCAGTCCTTTTCCTCCATGTTATAAGACCGTAAGTTGTGAGTAAGTTTAGACCATATGCAGTGCGTTTGTTTGGACTAAAACATTTATGGGTTTTAACTTTTTATCGTTTGAGATTCATGTATTCGGACTAATTCGGAGCAAGGTCCATGGTTTGTCAAAATTGTCTCGGTCGCCATTGCACCACTGCGATGCTGTTTTTTCTCAAGTCAACTTGATCGCAAGCTCTTCTGTCAACATGTTTTATGTTTGAGGTTAACCGGATATGCCTATGAGTGACGGGATGAGTATTGTGATTATGAAGTTGTGGTTCTTGGTGTTCTGAAGTTGGTGTGGGACTTAAAATAATAAACATATGTACGCAGGGAATGAATAAAATTCTGGAAAAGCCACTTTTTGGTTTTGTATCTTTTTATGTATGGAAACATTTTTGAAGAATTTTCGAACATTTCAACAGTTTCTCGGAAAGAATGTAGTGTCCAGACGCCACTTCAAGTTTACGGACGAGATTCTTCTAAAATTGTCTAAATATTTCTTAACAAAATTGGAAATGTTTCTCAGTTGCAAATTCATGTCTTTTTAACATTTTTGCAGTGACTGACCTTCATTGGGATAATAACAATGAAAAAAAAAACATGGTGTCAGGATGCAACATTCTTTATATGACCATCGAATACGGAGAAAAACAGTAGAGAAGGGAGTCTTTTCAAAAAGAAGTTGCATCCTAAGGCCACTTTTCACTTTCATCATATAATATTGTCTCAGTGACGGTCACTCATTGCATTTTTTTTTTGAAAAGACATGAATTGGTACTGAGAATCATTTCCAATTTTGTCCAATAATATACTTTGAAAATGCACTCGACTCTCCGACTTTGTCAACCAAAGAAGTGGGTCTGGATACTACATTCATTCCTTTTTGGCTTTTTAGACAATTATTGCAAAGGTCCAACAATTCGGGACTGAAATTGTACTCGTTTTCGGTCGCCAACCTATTGTGTGCCCCGCCAGAAACCAAATCCCACCCCACCCTCCAGAAAAACCCCTCTGGAAAATGAGGATACCCGCAGAAAATGAGGTCCCTTCAGAAAATACCCCCCCCCCCCCCCCCCGTGTAAATCAGACCCCTGGTTTACGTCACTACTGCATGTCATTATTTTTTTTTATCAATGCACGTCATTATTTTTCCTATCAATGTACAGGACCTGCCGATAGGGCTCCAAACCAAATCTCGGCGATCTCGCATCGACACATTTTGACCAGCGTCCACAATGATCGATCAAGCCGGTCTCTGGGCAGGCACCGGCATACTGTGCGCGATGCTGGTGCTACTGATCATCTTCGCAATGTACAAACAGTACTCAGGAACACTGGCATTGCCTCCTAGAAAACCCGAGGCTAAACCCGACGGCAAAACCGACGGCAAAACCGAAGATAAGACCGAGCAGGGAAAAGACCAAGTAGCCGATGGAAACTCCGCAAAACCGCCACCACCGTACCCCAGCGTGGACGACGGCCCGGGCGCCTACGCTTACGATCAGCCGGTAGACGACGGCGTGGACGGCGTGGACGTCGCGGTGGAGGTACACGGGACGGAAGCGGCCTGCGTGGGCAGGGAGCCCGAGGCGAGTGTCCCTTATGTGTACGACCAAGCCATTCAGTTGGAGACCAGCACTTAACTCGTGCCGAACACAAACATAATTGGAACAGAGACTGTTGGTGTATTTTGGTACAAAGGGTAAATATTATTTCATACTTCACACAAAACGTAGAGAAAGAACTTCAGAAATTCACTCGGCCACACCTCTGCCCTAGAGAGCTGGTAACCGCCACTCCCTTTCACACAACTGTTGAAGGAAACGCGAGCATCGAAAAGCACAGTGGGTATTATACTTTCCACAAACAAGGTACTTTATGCAGATTTCGTGCTTCTGGTTTCACAAAATGTCTCCAATGAGAGCTCGAAGATATCAGGGGTCCGATGGGGTCATTTGCATAGGCAGTTGGGACGAGCGAATTTAAGAAACTATAAGACTTTGTGATTCATTAAAGGAACAGATTGTGTCAGACACTTTACTAGAAGAGAAAGAGTGTAGTTGGAAGACAATGCAAAACAGAACCAAAAAATAATTTTTATATACATGTATAGTTCTTACCAAATAAAGATCACTGGGGTCGTTAGAAAAGTTGAATGGGGGCGTGTGGCCATCATCAGATTCTGAGACACTGGGGACGCTGTTCAATATAAACGGGGGAGGACTTGGAGGGACTCGGAGGGACTCGGACTGGACCACAACTGACGCGCATGTCGACGTTGGCATGATTGTGCCGCCACAGACGATGGCTGCCCGACAAAAGCAACACATTCAGGGGTGTCGGCCATGCGCCCCAATAAGCGACGGCCATGACGATCATTGTAAATAAATATGCGATATTGTATTTTGATGATAAACTGGCAAAATCGACCTCATCATGTTATTGGAGTTTGAATACTATTTTTTAGTTTGAAAGACCAGATGAATGTTTATTCTAAAGAGTTATTCAAAATATGTTCTTCCAAACAACGTTCCCGAATATAACACTATGTGTTTGCTGATTGGAACTACTATTAGCCCGTTATTTTTTAATTAGCAACTAAACAATGTTTGTATCTAAGTTTATTTCTATATTTTATCACCCATTTCAGCCGTTTGAAAATAATCAAAATTTTGCTAAGAGTAGATTTTTTATCTATGTTCTTCTTTGACAGAATTTTCTATTCTACATTGTATTTGCTAAGCCTTTTATATTTGAATATATTGTACATGTATTCCTTTATCTATAAATGTGATGAAAGGTAACTATGAAAATACAAACATTTATTGTTGTTCTAATAAATAACCAATAATTCGGCAGTATTGTTCAGTATTAAACGTGAAACCAACCTCAATATAATTATCATCGAGATTTATGCTTGAAATAAGCATCGACATTCGACAACGAGGATGTTCAATTTCGTAAGGGTAATTTTAGTACCCCGTTCCATATAAGAGAAAGAAAAGACACTTTAATGATTTGGGACTCAATGCCTATAAACATTTTGGCTATGGAACAAGCAGGAAAAGCGTCTTAATGTGTTTGGAAACATCTGAATAGTTCGCTAAGATACCATCATGTTGGTTCACTTTGTGGAGAGAGGGCCTGGTTTTGATTTATGAACGGAACTTGTAAAACGTAAGGTGTCATCAACTACACGATTATCCATTTCGTTGTGTCGAGGAAAACGGTCCTCAAAATGTCTTATTTAATGTCTTACAGTGCTATAACATTTACAGCCATCCCCAGATGTCAGTGTGAAAATCGTCAATAGCGTAAACTGTCCTTAAAAAAATAAGAAACATCCAGTGGGCCCTTCGAACGGTTTGGGTTGGAACAGAGTCACCGAATGGATTCAATTAGATGATAAAGATTTTTAAATTTGGGCAATCTTCAATCAGTGTTGTTTATGTTGGAATCGAGTCGCAATTTCAGTGGCTGGCTTGGACTTTACACGAGCTAGAGGTGGCGCAGCCACGATTATTTCAAGGGAGGGGGGGGGGGTAATATTTGTGGATTTTAGGAACAAAGAATGAGACCACTCAAGAAGTTAGTGAACGTGTACTACTTCCGTAATGTGACATGATCTATCGAACTCAAGCATATCTAACGAGCAATGCAGTATGGTCGAATGAGGGCGCTATTACAGATGCTATACTGGGGCGGCGGCATCAGCATGTTATTGGGGGGGGGGGGGGGGGGGGTGGCCAAGGAAGGAAACATGGCACCGACATGTGTACTACTGCGTCTGCAGGGGTGTAAAAAGTGGGGGATCAATGGCAAATGTCCCTTCGCCCACCCTCGAAAAAAAAAAAGATAAATTGAAAATGGTGCAGACCAGTGAATATGTCTAAAAGTACTTTCACGTTGACTCTACACTTTGAAGTTTGTAGAAAGTGTCCCAGCTCCAACCCGGTTGAACATTTCTGTTTGGCTGTATTTTGGCGATATGGACTTCGATACATGGTTTTCACTTTTGGGAATGATTATCTTTGGAGCGACAAAAAAAATCACCCAAAATCAGAGAGTGAAAGTAATTAAATCAAGCTATAATTTTGATGAGTGCCTTATGGGCACACGTGGTGAGAATGTTAATTTCTCCGGGTGGGAGTAATGTATTTACTGGTCTGCATCCATAATATCAGTGAATGGATGGGCCGCTGTGTGGAGTTGGTCGGGGTGGGAGGGAGTCCTAAACTTAATTAAACAATTAAAAAGAAAAAAGAGGTTGATTGGTGAACAAAATTAAGATGAGTTCTTTTCCAAACCGAGGAATAAATATTTGTTGCCTTTTTCTTAGCAGACACTCTCTAATCTGTGACAGAGGAGGGCGCTGCAGCCACATCTGTTATTTTTTTGTGTGTGCAGGGGGAAAGGTATAGTGTGCGTTTGTGATAATCTGGTTAAAAAAGAACAAAAGTTTTATAAGTGCTGAAGTGTACCGAAAGTGGCAGTAGCTGTAAATAAAACTTGAAGAGTACATGCAGTGTTTGTCTACTGTTTAGCGTGAATTTAGGTTTTCACAATATTGAGGGCGCACTTTAAACTTGTAGATGACCTTTGACTTACTTCTCAGAAACACACGGAAATTAAATGTGGTCGATTGAGTGCGTACACGTTCCTCATTTTGGTTCACTAAAAAAGGGAAGTTTTTAGTATGACAGAAGGAATCGAAACCCGTCCGCGTGTCGACTGAGCACTCGGGACATTGCCAACATTGAAATCTGCAGCGGGAAACTCGGGGAAATGTCTGCTTCGCGCGGAGAACACAACAACAGCGCCGGCGGCCCGTCGCTGGACTTCACCTTGCCGATGCCGCAAGACGAGTACGGCACCTACCCGGAAGTCAGTTGCGACACGGTGCGTCAGAAGCTGACACCTTTGGATGAGATCTTGAAGACGATACCACTGGAAGAATTCCTGATCAAGGTAAAATCTGGCGATTGTGTAGTTACGGGCCACCCTTTCAAAGTGTTCGTTTTCCTTAAACATGTTAAGAGCTTTGTTTATAACTGATCACTCGTAAATAATATTAAAAATTATCAGTCAATATAAACTTGGATTGGACGTTTGGGAGACATTCCCATAGACTTGTGCACAAAATTGTTCAAACTTAAATGTGCCCTAACCAATATTCCCTTGTCCTTTTTCCACAAATTTCGGTATGTTTACTAAAAAGGCCACGAGCAACAAAAATAACCCGATTGCGACAATACAATTTTGCCTCTGAAGGGGGGGCTGTGACATTAGGGAGACTTGAAAATGTCTCCTTAATGACCGATGTCTCTCACTTTTCAAAGAAATTATGATATCATGTCTCCTGGCTCAACATGGTACATTTACATGAATAATAATATTATTGTTAATTTTTTTGAATAATAATGACTTAGAAACTGCAAAGTGAAAATTTCTTAAAAGGGGCACATCGTCCTGAAATCGCCGTAATTCAAGTTTTATGTTTAAGATTGTTTATTTATCCTGTTTCAAAGGTCTTGTTGAAAGGAAACTAACCTAATGTTGCACTGTTCCTGAAACAAAGTTAGTTGTTTACTTTTGTGGTGGTGAACATTTTGTGGCATATGTTCATATCCTGCTGCCATGGCTGCGTAAAACTATGTTGCATCCTGACGCCACTTTTTCTTTCATCATATACATGTAGGCCTAAAATTATCTCAATGAACGTCAGTTATTGCTGAAATGTTAAATACATGAATCTGGGACCGAAAAACATTTCCAATTTTGTTAGAAAATACTTTGTACTTGTTGCTCTCGGCTCTCGGTAGACTTTGTACACGACCAAAGAAGTGGTGTCTGGATACTATATTCTTTCCCCTGCCGATGTCATAATTTACGCATATTCACTTGCTTACTTTTCCCATCCAGTAATTTTTATATTTTCATAGCTTCGCTGATTGTACATGTTGGAATGTCACTTCTCCTTTGTTTTGTTTTTTCGATCATAATCATTATTATTTACATTAATTTATAACTACAGACAATGATGTTCGATCTGAGGAATGTACAATAACTTGTTGATTACAATGTCCCATAGAGTAGCAACGATTCCTGAAAAATTTCATGAGCATGTACATTGTCTGCAGGAAAAAAATACAAACGATCGATTTTAACGATTTTCTCTTGTGGACAGGGTGTCTGAAAGAAATACGGAGCATCAGAAGGGGCTTTGCGCTTTTTAACCCCTTAAAGACTGGTTATAATGGGGACATTCCTCCACACATAGAGCAAGTGGCCCGCATGACTGCACAGCCTTTGTGTGGTAGCGGGACTGCACAAAAGCAGCAGCTGTGGAACTACCCACTAGCCGTGTGCCACAGCATACCGCAGCTGGCAACTGCATTCCAATGAGGATTAGCGGCCACGGCCATGACCACTTCCGATGCGCATGGGGTTAATATAATTTTTTACACAAAAGAAAAAAATGAAAAGACGGATCCTAAGATGCAAGAATAACACAAACAAATTGCCAGTTCTTGACAGTATGGTTGTGCGTATTTTTTTTTGTTCTGTATGGCAACAACTGAAAAACAATATTAGGTTAAAACAAGTCATATTTATGCTACATAATGGGTCTCATATTGCTCATAAAACTTCAAAAAAAAAAAACCACACAATTACCAGCGCCTTGAGTACTAATTGTTGGTAGATACTGTAGTTAGACCATTCAAAACACCTCAAAATCTGGATTCTGGCAAATTGGAGGACAAAAAATGCAGGACCTTTTAAAATCCTCCAGAATTTATTGTTACTGCACTACCACACCTTTCAATTCCTTTCGAAAGGTATTGAAAGGCAACTTACTGAATTTGCCCACAGAGTTGCTTCACCTTCCGAAACCTTTCGAAAAGTTTCAAAGTTCCAGCACTATTGCACCTTTCAAAACCCTTTTAGTCAGGCAAATTTAAAATGTTTTGAAAGGTCTGATAATTCTCTGCCAACTGCACTGGGCATAGCAGGGATAAGACTCTGGTATTTTTTGTCAAAAACTAAAGAGAAAAGGAAGATTGCTTGAGGTTGTAGAAGTCAACTTGAACAATAAAAAAACGTTGTAGAACTTTGGAAATTTAGACTTCCTAAACTTCACTTTTGCCCTCATCAAGGACAAAGCCAATGCCAAGGAACAAGAGAAGAACCTTCTGTGGTTCCACGGGAAGATCACGCGAGAGACCGCCGTTCACATCCTTCAGGACAACGGCAACACGGAGGGGTTGTTTCTTGTCCGGGAAAGCACCAGCTCGCCCGGTGACTTTGTCGTGTCGCTCATCCACGACTCCCAGCCCCAGCACTTTCAGATACACTGCCTGGGCGATTTCTACTATCAGGTAGGTGGAGCCTGTCTCAGTTTCGACATCTCTTTTTGGTTAATTTTTATTGAAAACTAGAGAGCCCTGAATAATGCAACTTGTGACAGTTTTTCCATTTGACGTGTCAAACTTTCAGTCATTTCGAATTTTTTTTTTCAAAACAATTTCAAAACAAAATATTTGCGGTAGCATTTAAAAAAAAAGGAGTCATGGTTTTCTACTAGCCCTAACTCCCTGTGCCTTTTTGCTAGGATGTAGCCTCAATCCTGCAAAATCCTCCAATTGGCCTCATGGAAAAATAGCATATAGCCTCAATCCTGCAAATTCCTCTGTTGTTTCTTGAATATGGTCCATGGAGGGGTGACCACTGCCTGAATCCTGCAAAATCCTCCAGTGACATCCTGGAGCAGTGCGGAGGATGTCAAGTATAATCAAGGACTAAATTTATGCACGGCTGAGCATAAACAACACAAGGTCCGGCCCAAGACCTTGACACAGTGCGTACTCCAAAATCAGCAACACACTTTGGCCATGTAACCTCAATCCTGCAAATTCCTCCAATTTGCAAAAAGGATTTTGGAGGATTCAGGGCGGTTAGGGTTAGTACAGCAGGATGGTTTATTGTTTATCTGTTAACTTAAAAAAAAATCAAAGCCCTTGCAAAAGTTTCGGAGAGTCATTTAAAATGTTTGGTTTTTTAAAATCTTTTTTTGACAACCCAGGTGGACAACGGTCCCTTATTTCAGGGACTGGATGCGCTGATTAACTTCTATGTGGAAGGAGCCAATGGCTTGTCGACAAGACTAGTTGATTTTTGCAAGGGGGAGGTCCCCCCAGCCATGGCCAGACGGAGGGGCAGGACCACACCCTTACACAGGTGCAGAACATAGTACAATAACGACATAAATCGGACCACAGTATTTATAGACGTAGGGGAATGGTAAGGTCAGGGAATTAGGTATCTTGTGTAATCGATTGCAAAGAAAATGTGGACTAACTAAATATAATAAATTAATTGATACAAAAATACCGCTTTTCTTAAAAAAAAGTCGGCACACCAGGTGCCAAGATTTTACAGGATTCTTTAGACTGTCAGTCACTAAGGTAAGGCACTGGTATTTCGTGATAATTTGGTAGTTTTGTTTTTTGATGTTTGCAAATGTTGTATATTCCCTTTAAGCGAGTTTAGATATATAGATGTGGTTTATGACTTGGGAAAAATGAAATGTTAAATTTGTCTTTGTCGTCCATCGCTTCACCAGGGCTGTGATAGACGGCGACCTGAAGCTCATCAACAGGATTCTACAGAGCCCGTACTGCTGCCCACTGGATGCTCGCAACATGGCGGGCCAGACGGTGCTGCACGACGCCGCCATGTTGGGGGACGCCAAGGTGGTGGAGAAACTCCTGGAGAGTGGGGCCAGCGTCAACTGCAAGGACAGCAACTGCGTCACCCCGCTGCATGTAAGTCATGTCATGTCGCCCTCGTCTCATCAGACACTCCTCTTGATTAAGGATGTGATATTTACACGTTTAAACGATAACAAGTCTAAATCCATCGGCGAGCGTGAAGTGTAGGGCCCCTGTTTTGTTTTGATCAAATTAGAGTCAAAAATGATTTTTATTGCTCAAAAATCACCTTTACAGTCAAAAGCAGACTGACACCCGTTTTACAATTTTGAACAGATTCTTGGGGTAGAAACCACAATTTTCCTGCGCTGTTTGTGCCTTGGGATTCAGCGCGCCGTGCGTGCTCACGGTACATCGCGCGGTGATCGCCATCTTTATTTTCGGGTCGCGTGTCGTCGCCGAGCTGTCATCGTCATTTTACCCTGAATTCCCCTAAAAACATCAAAACCCTGCCCTCTATCTATGACATACCTGTTTATTGAGAATGTCGCCAACTACTTTGGTAGGTCCAATAATTTTAAAGTTGATTTTGTTCCCTTATAGGAACCGGGCCCTACACTACACGATCGCCAATCCATGTACAAATTTTCACAAACGTTTTAACGAAACCCGCGTTGTAAAAATGGAATCTTGTTGTAAAGTCCAGGCTTCTGCTCGCATACTGCAGTGTTGAGATGATGTACATGTAGCCTCTCAACAAGCGTAGCCTTAATTTGATGTCTTAGATATGACTAAATTTTGTTGTAAAGTTTTAACAAACCCACGTTGTAAAAATGGAATCTTGTTGTAAAGTCCAGGTTTCTGCCCGCATACTTCAGTGTTGAGATGATGTACAGGGTAGCCTCTCAACAAGCGGAGCCTTAATTTGATGTCTTAGATATGACTAAATTTTGTTGTAAAGTTTTAACAAACCCACGTTGTAAAAATGGAATCTTGTTGTAAAGTCCAGGTTTCTGCCCGCATACTTCAGTGTTGAGATGATGTACAGGGTAGCCTCTCAACAAGCGGAGCCTTAATTTGATGTCTTAGATATGACTAAATTTTGTTGTAAAGTTTTAACAAACCCACGTTGTAAAAATGGAATCTTGTTGTAAAGTCCAGGTTTCTGCTCGCATACTGCAGTGTTGAGATGATGTACAGGGTAGCCTCTCAACAAGCGGAGCCTTAATTTGATGTCTTAGATATGACTAAATTTTGTTGTAAAGTTTTAACAAACCCACGTTGTAAAAATGGAATCTTGTTGTAAAGTCCAGGTTTCTGCCCGCATACTTCAGTGTTGAGATGATGTACGTGTAGCCTCTCAACAAGCGTAGCCTTAATTTGATGTCTTAGATATGACTAAATTTTGTTGTAAAGTTTTAAACAAACCCACGTTGTAAAAATGGAATCTTCTTGTAAAGGCCAGGTTTCTGCCCGACATACTTCAGTGTTGAGATGATGTAGCCTCTCAACAAGCGTAGCCTTAATTTGATGTCTTAGATATGACTAAATTTTGTTGTTAAGTTTTTAAACAAACCCACGTTGTAAAAATGGAATCTTGTTGTAAAGTCCAGGTTTCTGCCTGCATACTTCAGTGTTGAGATGATGTAGCCTCTCAACAAGCGTAGCCTTAATTTGATATCTTAGATATGATTAATTGCTACCCGTCTGTCTCCTAAAATAGATAAAGTTGGCTGTATGTTATGATCGGAGGGAAGTGACAAGGCCGTAAGTGATTGATGAAGCCCCCGTGCTGTGTATTAACGGCGCGCACTTGGTGCCCATCTGCAGGTTATTGTAGGGAAATGACTTACACAGCGTACATAGTTCACCTTTCCTTGCAGCATGGGGCTGGGGGGAATATATAGGAATGACACACTCCGGACTTTAATGGAACACTTCCCAGGAGCGTGTGAATGTTTCCTTGCGATAATCATGGGCATGTTCTTCATTTGCCTCCGGTCGCACACATGGGATCGTTTAGCTTTTCCAGGCCTACTACTACGGTACGTGCATGGATTTGGGGCAAAAAGTGTTTTTAAAGGGAGATTTCAGCAGAGGAATTTACATGTACTCTGTGGAAAATGTATTGTTAATGGTACATGCAGTACACTGTAGCTTTCCAAGAAATATGCCAATAAGTTGAATTTCCTTGAAAAGCTATTTTTGTCACGGAAACCATGCCAAATGAGTGTTAATAACCCTTGAGTGCTACACTTGTATTAAATTGTATTACATTGTATACTGTACTCCTCCATTAACCCTTACCCTACTAGACCCTCCAACGCATGCCAATATGTGCCTCAAGAAAATCTCCTATGTTTTTTGCATGGCCCTCCAATATCTGCCATGTCATTTCAAGGGTAACTGGACAGGCACTCCAATACATGCCACAGAGAACAATGAGAGTCCTCTGATAACAAAGTGAGTGCCCCCAGCTGGTCAGTATCAGGCACCCTCCAGGGCCTCCAACTCCTGCCAATTGGAGCCTTCACTGCTACATCAAAGTATCCTCCAATAAACTGCAGCTGGAGGGCATTGGCATAACCAACTGACATGCAGTAAACTACCCTCAGAGAGTAAGGGTTAATCAATAAAAGCTTGCTGGGCGGTTTGGGGAGTAAATGGCAGGGCGGTTGCAGGATGCTTTGCGGGCTTAAAGGTTAAACTGTAATGTGAAAAATACCCACTTTTGTTACAAATTCTGTGAAAAATCAGCTACAGTATCAAGGAAGTGTGTGCATAATATTAAAATGTATACTTTATCAACAAATAACATATTATTAATGTACATGTGCATGTACTATGCAAGGAATAGGAACATTATTTGCGGCGCTTTGGGGGGGGGGGGGCTGGTGCCACCTTCCAAAATAGGGGGCGCTCTTCAAAACTGGCCATTATGCAAACTACGCATTATGTGCCCATTTTCAGGGCGCTTTGTAGAAGGGTTTTGGGGCTTGGTTTTCATATTCCTTGTTCATATCAGAACTCTCTCATTGGGAAATGGTTACTAAAAACAAATTATATCCGAAATTCTAGGGCCACTTTTTTTCATCTCGAGGGGGCACGTTTATGCTCAAGGGGCCACATTCATGTCCGCAAGAGGGGCACTTGGGTAAAGTTTAAATTACCCTTAAAACTCATTGGATCCAGTCACATCTCATCTTGTTTTTGTTCTCATGATTTCTCGGCAGACCGCATGCATCCACAACCTTCCGCACATCTGCAAGTTGCTTCTGCAGCGGGGTGCGGACCCCACCCTGCGCCACCCCATGACGGGCTGGGTCCCGCTGCACGAGGCCGCCATGCGCGGCCACAGCAAGTGCGTGGAGGAGCTGCTGCGATTCGGGGCGCCGTGCCACCCCCGGAGCGTGGACAACGACACGCCCCTGGATCTGGCCCGGCGGTACGAGCACGATGCCACGATCCGAGCATTGAGTAAGTCTGAGTATACAGCATTACTTGCATAGGCTTAGTGTACACGTACCAGGTACATGTATAAACCAATCCGGACACGCTATAATTTCTATCACAGAGGCCCCTGCAGTGGTGAAAGCTAGCTGTTGTTCAGACAATCTGTGATGGAGCAGTTGCTTTGTACAGTAATGTGCACAATGTTTTCTCCATTGAAGGGGGCCTCGTGATTGTACAGTGATAACTGGCCCGTATTCGTCAATCAAGGAAGAAAATACCGGTAAATGTAAGCCCCCCCCAAAAAAAAATAATCGGTCTCTGGTCAGACCAAAGAGAATTGATGCCGTGGTGCTTTTTGCTTTTTTTTCAAGCTTGGATTGTACCGACAAGGTGGGTACTTAATTTCTTTTTTTTTGTCCTCATATACCTTGGTGTCCTCCATCATTTACCCTGGTGCTCTCCATCATTTGGAGTCGAGCTGCCCACAAATTGAGGAGATGTGCTGTTGTAGCTACCTCGGAAAATTTTAAGAAAAAAAAACTTGACGCACACTATCAAAATCGACGCGCGCGCTGACCAGAGACTAACTAATTTTTTTGGGTCTAATAATGTATTAGTTTTTTGGTATTAATGGAAGTGATATACTGGTACTGGTATGAAGACCCATGCTGGGTTCCAAGTGCAAACATGCCTTGGAATAAAGGGTAAGCTAGCTTTTTCCTATACATTCTGGTTCAATCTGCTTGAAAATAAAAACCAAAAATATTAAGGATGTACTCGTGTCTGTGATATATGTACCTGTACTTGCATCGCAGATGTCAGTGTACAGTACACATGGTACATCTGAAAGTATAAAAACATGAAAAATGTAAATCGAAACGTTACCCAAACTTGCTGGATAGAAAGCAGGAGTGTAAACACTCTGCGACAATATTTTGTCTAACGTTCTTTCATTTCGCAGAAAACAGGAAATGTTTGTCATCACAGGATGATTGGCATCCAGCAATTCCAGGCAGGGGTCATAGGCAGTTAAAGCAAACAAAGAGAAATATTTTAAAGACGAAATTGTTATATGATAAGTCGACTTCCTTTCTGGGAAAAACACATTTAAATTGCCTTCATAAGTACCTAAGACAGTTTACCCATTCCTATTGGTCGGGAGCCCGTCACTTGGCCAGTCTTAAGCGGTTGATAAAACACTGGCTGGCTGGTCTTGAACACTTTTCCAGTGTCACATGAAATTGGAATTCCTATGAGATCTGGTCCCTTTTAGTCTTTTATTGGTTGAACGCTCACAATTTTCACTTATATGCAATACTACCAATTGAGTCTGTATGTCGAATTCACACTACACCAACACAGCTGCACTCTGCGCCACAATGCGCAGTACACCCAACGTGCGCGCCAATCTTCATATAAGAAATTGTTTATGACTATTTGAGAGAGGCTTATGTATATGAGGGTGTTCCGAAAAACATGAAGTAAAATTGTTGAACAAATTCTTTGGGAATTTATCATTTTTGACTTGTTTTGACTTTTGGACTGAAAAACTTTGATTTTTTGACCCAAAAGGTATTTATGAATAGGAATAAATATGTGCTTGGCCGGTATTAAACACTACAGTGTTTCTGACAGTGGCTGCAATATGCGCCGCAGCACCTTGTAAACCCTTATAAAGGTGCTACATAATGGGTCTCATATTTCTCATAAACTTAAATAGACATAAGCACCTTGAGTACCTAATTGTTGGTAGATACTTACGCTATATAAGATCCGGTATTATTATTATTATTATTATTATTACAACGTGTAAGTTTATGACCGATTGGTGTCTGGATGCTGATAATTACCCGAGCCGAATTTCCCTTAATAACATCGTGGACATTTTTCATCTTTTCTTCAAGAGTGCTCACATTTTTGGATATTTGGGTTAAAAAAAAAAAATTGCTGTTCGGATGTTCAGCGTATGCGGCTCCACAGCCCTAATTTTAAGGGATCACAAACTGAGTGTCACGTGAATATCATTAACTTGTCACATGTACATGTTGCAACATTTTACCGATGATAAATTATTAGGGAGCTGCATATCCATTGTATTTCATTAATGTTACTGGGATGTCAGCAAATATTGTTTCTGGTCGAGGTTGTCATAATATGGAGATTCATGTTTTGTTTGTCTAGTACCGGTATGTATTCACATACATGGTTTTGGCTCAAGATATGTATTTGATAATGAGTTTCATTATTTCAATTTTGTTAAAAGTTTGTGAAAGTGCTAGAATACTAAATTTCTTATAATTTGTTTTATGTGGGTTAAGGAAACACTTTTTTTTTCATGTTGAAAATTCTCTCACAGAACCACCCCCCCCAAAAAAAAATCCATAGTAAGTTGTTGCAACAACGGCTGCAAGTACATTGTACATGTAATCGACCTTTCCATGATAAACGAAACTAAATGCAAATAGCTGGTTGTGATAAATTATTTTTATGCAGCGTTACTTTTGGTTTCAGTGACGTACAATACAAAATGAAAAGGCAAATGAACGTTGAAGCCTCCTATGTGCATTGTTTGTACAGCGTGTGCAGCCAGTTTTTTTCAAGCCGTAGGGTCAAGGGAATTAGAACTGAGTTAAAATAATTCCACTTCACTCCTCTTCTGTTTCGTTAATTAATTAATCAAAAAGATACTATGAAATGCACTTCCTTAAAGACGACGCCATTGCAAACTGAAATATGCTGTACAGGTAAAGTCTTGTGTGGTTTGGAGTTTCCTCGTTTTTATTCCAAATTCCCAGTTGCATGCCTGTTTGGGAATAAGTTATCCACAAAAGCTTTTTGTGTCCCCCAACAAATTTCAATATTGGACAGTGCGAACGTAGAGGACTGACACACAAAAGGAGAACAACAGATCCTTTCAGTCCTTGGGAGTTGGGTCTTTTGTTAGAAACGGTTGTCTTTAGTAAGGTTGTGTGCTTAGTCTATGGGAGAGTGTTGTATTACAGGGACAAAGGGAAACACAAATCATTGTCCTCGAGAGTATAGTAAAACAAGAGTGTATGGGTGGTCTAAAGTGAAAAAGTGTTCGTGCATGGTACCCAGAGTGTGAAAATATAAAGGCACAATCTTATTCAGACAAACTGAATTTATCAATTTTATGCATTTATTTATGTGTTAAATTTAATAAGTAACTTAGAGTTAGGATGAATTTACACTACAGATTACATTTTTTTCAGTTTAGAGGGTAAACGGTCCACATGTTAAAGGGAATATACAACATCAACAATCAACAAACAAAACTACCAAATTATTATGAAAGATCTTACTGGACTGTTAGTGGATGACAGTCTAAAGCATCCTGTAAAATCATGCCACCTGGTGTGCTCGCATTGAAAAAAACTGACGTTTTGTTTAAATACTGCCCCAAATTGACCATATTAGACCACATTTTGTTCACAATCGATTACACACCTACATGTATGAACGGGTACAAGCCAGCTGGATTGGTTCCCTGACCTTACAATTCCCTGACGTCTATAAATTGCTCCGTTTCATCTTAAGTGGGGTCAGGGAACCAGACTACAGGAAATGTTATGATTGTTTTTCTTGTTTTTTCAAGCATACGAACACAAAACTTCAAACAAACCAGTGTAACAATATTTGCCAGTATCGACCCACAAATCCATCCATTTTTGAAAATTACAGCCATGCAGCAAATGTTGTATACCTTTAAATGGTCAGTAAAAGTGCAAGGTATGACGTTTTTTTCACCCTCTTCAGCCCAGCACTGATGATACCAAACTGCTGTTTTTGGCTTCAGACTATTGTCTCTTGAACAAAAACATTGACAAGTTTGCAGTCCGCAATTGCAGCTAGATAGCTCAGTTGGTAGCGCACCGGTACAGCATTCCAGATGCCCGAGGTTCTAATCCCCCTGTTGTCCAAGTCTTTGAACAAAGACATTAACAAATTGGGAGACCACCAACAAATGACTGGATAGCTCAGTTGGCAGTTTCCCGGAGGCCCAGGCTCAAATGCCGCCCCAGTCAATTTCCGTCTTGAATCTGATGAGTATTTTGATCTCCATTTACGACAGAAAACTACCAGCCTCTGGTCCCCAAGACCATGAAGGGACACTGGGACCACGGCATGCTGGACCGCAACAAAGCCATGGAGGTCATCCAGAAACAGGGGGCCAAAGACGGGCAGTTCCTGATCCGCAGCAGCTCCCACAAAGTGGGCATCTACGTCCTGTCCATGGCCGCCAACGGCAGCATCTACAACTTTGAAATCAACAAGAAGGTATTGTTTATGGTTTGGGACAGTCATAGCCCTTTCTGCAAGGCCAATTAGGCTCATTCCCTGTGCTCTAAAACCAATTAAGTTGTTTGCTAAGGCCAAAAAAAATAAATAACTCGGTCTCTGGTCAGCGCGCGCGTCGATTTTAATCATGCGCGTCGATCTTTTTTTCTTCCAAAATGTTCCGCGGTAGCTCCAACAGCGCCCTCTATTTCCGCCCCTCAATTCTTTTTACCAAAGAGCGCCAAGGAATGGGAAATTGCACCAAGGCAAATGATCGAAAGTACCAAGGCAAATTATGGAGGACACCAATGTACATGAGGACACCAAAAAAGCAAAATAGTACCCACCTTGTCTGTACAACATTTGCTTTTGCTTCAGTGTTTAGAAATAAATGGATTTGGAGGATTAGTATGTTAAGAAATATTGTTAAACTGACTTGTTTCACGTTTTGGGCTTGGAGATGCTGGAAAAACCAAGAAAACCATTAATGTTCTAGTAGTCTGGTTCCCTGACCCCACTCAAGACGAAACAGAGAATTAATAGACTTTGGGGAATTGTAAGGTCAGAGAATCAGTCTAGCAGGCTTGTACCCCTTCACAGGTGTGTAATCAATTGCAAAGAGCTTTTGCAGTTTTTGCAGCAAAGAGTTTCCAAGCAGTTTTCTGAAAAAAGCCAGTTTTTTCCAACGCTGGTCGGCCGACCAGCGTTGGAAAAATACAATTTTTCTTGAAAATGTCAGCACACCAGGAGCCACGATTTTCCAGGATGCTTTAGACTGTCATGCCCTAACAATCTACTAAGGTATTTTGTGATAATTTGATCATTTCATTTTGTGATGATTGCAAATGTTGTATCTTCCCTTTAACCAAAATCCATCACAAGTACATTTTTTACCTCGTCTGCAAAGCTGATGGTTGGCGTATTTCACAGAATTGGGAGGACTTTCGGCTTGTGTGCATCCAGAAAGCCTGTATAGCTAATACCATGACATGCATGTAACAAACCCCCCCATTGGCTAATTTACGCAAGGGCTTGTTGATATCGCCCAATAGGGAGATAGCTTCTTCATCGACGACGGCCCCTACTTTGACACCATCGAGCACCTCGTGGACCACTACATGCACTACGACGACGGGCTCCCCATGCGGCTCTTGCAACCCATCAGCCAGTACGGCGCCCCTGCAAACCAGTACCCAGCGGTGCCGGACCACCCACCCAGGGGGGCAGTGAGAAATGGGGAGCGGCCCCCTATACTGGGGCCGAGACCCCCCGATCTGGCCAGGGAGCTCCCTGTGCCGGCTAGTGGGCCCCCTTCCAGTCCTTCAAAGAATATGAGAAAAGGACCGTTTGCGGTGAGTGTTGTGCTCGTTCCTGTGTATGTGTTCCATGTTACCCCCGAGGACCGATGCACAAAGGGAGTCCTCGGGAGTTGGGTCTTTTGTTGGAAACGGTCCTCTCTAGTTAGTTTGCGTGCTCAGTCTATGGGAGAGTGTTATATTACAGGGACAAAGGGAAACACAAAGCATTGTCCTCGAAAGTAAAGTAAAACAAGAGTGTGTGTTCTATTCATTGTTTGTTCTATTCATGTCAAGTAAACCCAACAAAAGATGGTGTCTGTTATGCCTAACTACTGTACAAGGGGTGTGCATTTATGGGTATATACACAATGTAGTACGGGATCCGGGGACCCATTTGAAAAAAAGGCATAGGTACCCGGGTCCCTGTTAAAAAAAAACAACCCAAAACTTCAAATCTCGGAAGTTGCTGTTCAGATTGTTTATAAAGCTCGGTACGATAATTGTACCACATCGATGCATCAATACAGCAAGACACAAGTGTGTACAGTGAGCATGGCGTTACGGTGTAAACTGCAACTTTGGCGAGCGTCATAAATATGTTTTGTGTGTTACATTTTGTACATCATAGAGCAAGTTCTGGCTAGGACCATTGGGCAGCTAGTGGTTGATTTGTGACGTAACTTACGCCTGCGCACTTATAGCAACGCGCGAACGCCTCCAGTCAATTGATGGTCAAAACGTCATCACGAAACTTCTTGGTCCTGGTTCCCCCTTGTGCTTTATAATCCAAGTGCCTCTTGGTAACCAGCGATGCAACCATGCCATTGGTCCGGTTCCAAATAGTCGACTAGAGTAGTCCAACCGTCCTTCGTTCGAATGAAATTAGTCAAACTATGGTTAACTACACATGTAGTTCGCGCCCAAAGTTGCTCTCACGTTCAGAATACATATTTTGACCTACCTCGTCGTCGTTCGTATAACTCGTTCCTGGAGGTATCACACCGGAACGTCAGTTCTCAACCACTCCAATGTGGTGTCGTCAAGGTCGATCAGGCCAGCAGGTCCGTTGGGAGGGCCGAAAATTGGACACTCGTAGGATGTGCGTGGTCGTCTGTGGGGACCCACAGGGGCAGGTGTCGTCGGCTATGGCGCAGACTAGGTGGAGGAACGAGTTGGTTTTTCCGCACCCCGTCCGTAGTTGGTTGAGCCTAACCCAGGGCTTGCGCTCGAGGTTGTGCCCTGCTGGCTTTGTTGATGGTACAGGCATGAAGTGGTGCAGGCTGGTGGTCATTCTCTGCCACTGCTCTCTCCATGGGTCTGCTACCCAGGACGGGCAGAGTGAGGGGCCGTTCTTTAGCTCATAAGCACAGGTAACGAAGTGCCGGTGGTTGATTCGCTGCGGAGGGCAGTTGTCGGGGATGTAGGACACTAGGCTACTGGGCGTGTTAGCCTTCTGTGAGAGCTTGACCTACCTGATCATGGGTCATTGTAAACAGTTTGGTTTGTAAATATGTATCTAGGTTACAATGAGTAATATATCTTTCAACCATCTTGCCCTTGCTCTTTGGATCCAGGACCAGCAAGGGAGTCCACCGAGCGCCAGGCCCAGCGGATTCTCTCGTCTCTTCTCCAAGACTAAGAAGCGGGCCACGCAGAAACTGCTGCAGCAGCAGCAACAGCAGCAGCAGGCAAAAGCGGCGGCCAACCGGGAGACCGACATGGTGAACATCAACGCAAAGGACATAGTGAAAGGTAAGGAGCAAGTATTTGGTCTATTGGTCTCTAGTCCAGCGATGAAACTTTATGGTCATGGCTCCCTGCTGTACATTATGATGCCCGCTGCTATCGTAACCAGCAATGCGACCAAACTTGGTAGACTAGTCGTGTATGGTTGGCTGCACTATGGACTCCATACACAAGTGCGTGTGCCCTTGGGCAATATTTTGCACCTGAGAGTGAAATCAAGTGATTTCAATTTGAAGCCTAAGACTAGACTGGTACATGTCCAACTTTTTGAGAAGATTGACCCTTCAGACGTATGGTGGCAGATTATGGAGAGATGTGTGGAAATAGAGACAGGTACCTGATGTTTCTTTTGACACAATTGATTGATTCAGTACTAAAGGGGTGTTGGACTGGTTGTTTCATGTGCCAGTCTATGTTCTTGTGTTGCATGTTTTCAGTACCTTAAGTTACTCTCATACACAGTATTGAGAGTCCTAAATTATCAGACTTGTGACATATATGTACATGCATTATTGGCTGTGTATTTTTATGTCCAGTTCTCATGGACTTTGGTCACAGATCAGGATCAGCGAGTAAATCATGAACCAATCATGAATCATGAACCTATCGTTGATTCCTGCTTTTATAGGCCAAGAAATAGGCCAGGGGGAGTATGGCTCAGTCCTGCAAGGCAAGTGGCGTAACTACGACGTGGCACTGAAAACCTTACACCAGGAACATCTGCAGGCGGGCCAGCGAGAATTCATCCGTGAGGCGAGGGTCATGCACGGCCTGGACCATCCCTGTATCGTCAAGCTGCACGGTGTGGTGAGAGGCCCACCCATGATGATGGTAAGTAGTGATAATCACCTCATACATATTCATCACCTCATGCATAGCCATCATCTCATACATATTCGTTGCATTGCCTCGTTCATATTAATTATCATTGTTACATTCAGCTACGCCATCACAGCAGTCAAAATCAATCAAGTGACTGTTTTTAAACTGAGCTACGAATTCCCTTGTTAAAGGAAATATACAACATTTGCAAACATCGAAAAACAAAACTACCACATTTTTATGAAATACCTTACTAGGATGTTGGTAAATGACAGTCTAAAGCATCCTGTAAAATTATGGCACCTGGTGTGAAGTCATTTTCAAGAAAAGTGGTATTTTTGTATACATTTCCAAAGATGGTCGGCCGACCACCGTTGGAAAAACCTAACTATTTTTCATCTACTGATCCAAATTTACCATTTTTTTCAGTCCAAATTTTGTTTGCTATTGGTTACATGTTCATGAACGGGTGCAGGCCAGCTAGACTGGTACCCTTACCTTACCATTTTCCGGCATCTGTAAATTGGTCCATTTCATCTTTAGTGGAGTCAGGGAACCAGACTACTTGAACACTTTTGTTTTCCTTGGTTTTTCCAGCATTTTCGAACACAAACTTCAAACATGCCAGTGTAACAATATTTGATCTACTATACTAACCCCTCAAATAGTTCATTTCTGAAAATTACAGCAAAAGCCAATGATGTACATTCCCTTTAATTTGATAGAAACATGCTTTGACTGGAGGTGATTGATATGCCAGCTGTACCTACCAGTTACCTCTGTTGTCTGTTGATGGAATTTGACTAGTCACAGTGTTTACATGAATGTGACCGGACTTTTTTTTTACTAGCCTGTGTACAAATGCATGGCAGAGGAAGTGGAAGAAAGTTGTGACTGTGTGTGACTGATCAAACAGTAGGGGGGTTAAAGCAAGTTCTATTTGATCTCTGGAGCACAGGTGCAAGAGTTGGTGCCGATGGGATCGCTGCTGAACCTCCTAGAGGACCACCCCGATCAGGTCTTGGAGGAAAACTGTCGACTCTGGGCGGCTCAGATAGCATGCGGGATGAAGTACCTGGAGACCAAGAAGTTTGTCCATCGGGATCTGGCTGCCAGGAATATCTTGCTGGAGAGCAAAGAGCAGGTTGGTCGGACTTTTAAATAGAACTGATAAGTAAAAAGTTACATTGCTCATTCAGAAAGGTTACATTGCAAGTTTTGCTGCCACTTACTGAAAGAGAGTCAATATTGATTTACAAGTATTTTATGTCCTTGAAAATCTTGATAACAGGCATGCAACTTTTCTTCGGATCAGCTGATTTCCTCTTTTTTTACTTCCCATGTGTGCCATTGAAAATAGAAAAACACTGTACAAAGTCTGGGAAAAATTTGAATTTCCTCTTTTTTTTTGTGATTTGCCAGTTGCATGCCTGTGATAATCGTATTGTTGTTTTTGCACTTGAAGTGTCCGTGAAATGAATATTTTTTAGAAACACTGAGCAGTGTCTTCCTGAAATGACATCACATCAACAGCACCCTCAGTGTCCGGAAAAGCATGGAAAAATTTTAATTGTTTAAGCAAGTGCACTTTTAACTAAAATTTACCCAAAAGGGATGCCAAAGGGTTGTCATACATTTAAGAGGAGTAGAAAGTTACACAAAATCCAAAAAAAAAATTGGATTCTGTTCGAACGTGAATCCAAAAGTTTGCTCATTGAAAACATTTGTGAGAAAAATTGCTCATTGGCTCACTGCCATGTACTGACACAACAATGCATCACCAAAGACAAAAAATTACAACAGCAAAATATCCAAAATTCTGGTAACTTTTTGTGCAGAAATAGTTGTTAGAGAGGTTTCTGCCTGTAATGACATTACACTTTGCTCATGAATATGGAAATTTGCATTAGCATGATAACCAAAAAAGGCACCAAAATACCCTTGAAAAGTGGCAAAACGAAAATTGAAAATAAGATGAAATGGGACACAGAAATGCATTTTGAGGATTGCATTAAAAACAAAATGCATTGCATGGGCCCTTTAATGAAAAATTAAATTTACTTTTTTAGGTCAAGATCAGTGATTTTGGGTTGTCACGTGCAACTGGCGAAAACAACGACTACTACCGGGCAACATCGGGGGGTAGATGGCCTGTCAAATGGTATGTTTATTAACCACCGAAAGGCTGGTTTATGCTCTGCACATAAGCAAACGCGAATTGGAATTTGTGACCTCTGGGAAATTTTGGATAGTCTGTGGAATTCCCTTGCATAGCAAGGGTCTGTGATGTGCAAGCAGATTTGGCAATTAATTACGCAAAATCGTTCAACAACCTGAACCCAGTTCTGTCTCATTTTGCCATAACGGCTCACAAATAATGTCCTGGTTTTAATAAGACCTTTATGTCCTGCTGAACGACATTTGTCTGTTTCAATTTTCTCCAATCTCATGTTTTCAAGGTATGCGCCTGAGTCCATCTACTTCGGGACGTTCTCCCATGCGTCTGACGTATGGAGTTTCGGAGTCACTCTGTGGGAGATGTACACCTTCGGAGACCAACCCTACGGGGACATGATGGGATCTGATGTAAGATTGATGGAAACTTCTTTTTCGACAATGACAACTTCACAGGAACATGTTAATATTAGACTCAGCCTTGGTTCTGAGAGCCTGTCTACTCTGCTTGATTGGCAGGCCCGTTGCTAAGGGGGGACTTGGCAAGCACTTGCCCCCCCCCCCCCCCCCCCCCAACGGCAAAAGCCATACATATATATTTTGTATTTTTATGGTAGTGATCCCCCTAGTTGCTACTGTGCCCCCCCCCCCCCATGCTCAGGGCTGGCGACGGGCCTGTTGATTGGTCTTACCAACTTATCAAGGTCGATACAAGACATTTACTGCTTTGTGTTTGAAGTAAACGAATGGCTATTTTACTCATGACATATATTTTTAAGAGTTGCCGCATGATTCCTGAAAAAAGTTGACAAAATTCTTTACAAAATGGCAGGCGGAGGTGACTCAACGATTGTTTTTAAACGAAAAAAATCAAGCACAAACGGCCATCGTAAATGCTGTCATTATCCTTGTCCAAAATGTTTAGATTATTTAAAACATTGCGCAGCTACGCCAAGTTTCGTGAAATCGATTGTAAGTTGTATTGCACAGCTGCGCATCACATTTGTTGCGCAAGTCCTACGTATGGCGTAGTTTAAGCTCTGTTTTGTGAAATCGGCTGCTGGAAACACCAAAAACGTCATAAAATCATTCTCTGAAAGATCTCAGTTGGACTCTTTGCACAATTATCTCCTAAAACAATGACCAAAGGAAGTGTTACATTGAGTTGATAAGCTGTCTGGAGGCAACATACGCTTTGTATGGCACATTTGCACATCTCCCTTTTTTCCCACCCGTCCTTTTCAGGTGATTAAGATGATTGAAGCCGGCGGCCGGCTGCCCCAGCCGGACGACTGTTCCCGCAAAATCTACGACATCATGCTCCGGTGCTGGTCGTACGACGCCAAGGACCGACCCACCTTCATGCAGCTCAATCAGTCGTTCAGCGAGGACCCGGACTATCGGGAGTTCTACCATGCCGGGGTGAAGCAGGCGCCCAGCAGGAAGAGATAAACAGGCTGAACAATGTTGGGGCATTTTGAAGCCCTCCAGGTGTATTTTTCCCATGATTGGTAGTAGTGTGTGTGGAGGATATGATCCCCTGATGGTGGGGTATGAGGAGGCAGAAAAAGGGCACTTCTTATCTAATAACTTTCAGGGTTTTTTTCAGAACCCTCATCTCCCTGCAATCTTGATTTCAAGTTTCCTTGATTGTTTTGTACAGGAAATGGATCTGATGTTTAAAAGGGGTTATCATGGCTGTCTAATTGGGTTCTTTATAAGGTTGTCATTTCTCTTGATGCTGATTATTATAAATACACGGTTGATCCTGTGGCCTGGAAAAAAACCTTGAAAAGTCGTTCAAGTTTATTTTCAATTTCAAGGGTCATGGAAATTTGTAAAAATGACAAAAGTCATGGAAAGTCATGAATTTTGTTTTGTTATTTTAAATGTAAAACTTCGTAGTGTTTCTGTTGCAGTTTTGATCTGCATTTTGATGAATTTGATGGATTTTCATAATTTGGACAGGGAAAAGTCACGAAAAAGTCAGCAAATTTTATTGTCCTAAAGGTGTGGGAACCCTGCAAATAGTACAGGATATGCTGGATATGACAAAAAAAGTATCACTTGCTGTTTAAGAAGGGTTTGAGTAGATTTTTGTCCCAATTAGAGGTAAATATCAGGCTTCCTTTTAAATAATTCAGCTTTTGTATATAATAAGCACAAAATACAGGGCAAGTCAGAATGATGTGGACCCAACTTAAAGAAAATCTTTAAAGTATTTAGCAATTGTCAAGACAAATGCAAATGAGATATGTTATAGGCTGGTACTTTGGCCATATTTGGTAAAAGTTGTACGTATATCCATGGTACCATTTTGAAGAAAAGCGCTAGCAAAGAACACGCGCTAACCACGGTTCCATTGTTCAACAAATGTATTGAAATTGCGTACTGATGTGAAGCAGTGTAATAACAAATAAAAACCTAGTCATGGTGACTGACTCACTTGAAGTAATATTGACACATTTAAAAAAAAAAAAGGCAAACCAATTTCGTGTGCAGACTGGAAAATGAGCCACTTCAATGAAAATGGCATAACTCCTCACCGCAACCACTAATTTGAATAAAAGCAAAATTCTTGTGGAAGACAAGGTAATAACCATTCATATAAAACACTCAGTTTGTTTCTCAATATACTCTATAAACTTGGGTCCAGATCATTCTGACTCGCCCTGTAGAATTACCAGCTACATGTAAAAGGGTATGTACATCATGCCAAATATCACATTGTAGCAATATAAATATTTATAGCCCTCTTCTGTACAGAAAAAAAAGTCCTACACAATTCACCTCATTACGCCTGTCACAAAAAGTCAACTTTTTGTCGGATATTATAAATACTGGAATCAATTTTACAGACTTTCAATCAGTGTAGATCTAAGAACATTTAATATTGTTTAGCATTGGCATTGCTGGATCAGTGCCAAGCTTTGTAAAATGATGAAAGTAGGGGTTTGCATCGGAGCCGGGTACCGGAGTACCCGACCAGCTGATGTCAGGAAGCGATTCCAGATCATGGGATCGGGTACCTGTAGCCAACTTTACAAATTACTTAGTAACTTCTCGGACAATAAAAAAAGGAGGTTTGGAATGTCATTTGTGGAAAATTTTTAAAATGAAAACCAGGCTACATGGAGAACAAAAACAGATTTCACGTTTATGTGCATTTTAAGGCGCGACAGATGACGCTAGGGAAAGTTGCAGCTTACACCGTAAAGCCGCATGAATAATGCCCTTCGGGTAACTCCCGGGATTTGAATTTTAGGGTTGGGTTTCTTTTACGGGTACCCGGATACCCGTGTTTTACTTCAATAGGGTACCCGGTTACTGAACTACCCGTTAATGCACACCACTGGACAAAAGTATAACTACTAAAATCAGGAAATGTAAAATATACCCTCCAAAATGTTTGGGAAAATAATATCCTTTTTTTTGTTGAATAAATGAGGGGATGCATGTTTATGGATGATTATCAACTTATGGACAAAATTAAACAACTATCATTTTGTAAAATCTGTAACTTTATTGATAATGACAACTACTGTGAAACTAATCTCAGTATTGATCAGTTAGAACTTATATTTAAAATGTGTTGCTTGCCATTACCTCTAGAAATGTAAATATATCTTGAAGAGCAGATATTTTTGATAATTATTGAGAACATCTCAATCAGTAGTGTAACCTAGAAGGAAATTAGACTTCAGCTTGTCTCATGAACCTCTTTTTTGTATTGTTGAATCCTAGTTTTTTTGGTAGTTTCGAGACCATTCTAGCCAACTTAAAAAAAAATCTGAGCTTTTTTTTCGTAATAATAATAATAATAACAACCGTGGTGCTTATATAGCGCTTTCCATCGTATCAACAATCTCAAAGCGCTTTACAATTATTACCCCGTTCATCAGGCCATGGGACCACGCGGCAGCCGATATCAGCGCTCAATCGGTCCTTGACCCTCACAGGTACCCATTTATACTCCTGGGTGGAGAGAGGCAATTGTTGTTAAGTATCTTGCCCAAGGGTACAAACACCATGTTCCTGGAAGGAATTCGAACCCATCTTGTGAGATTAAGATGTAAAAAATCACCCACATTTTAAAAAAATATGTATTTACAGGGGAAAAATTGTGGAATCAGTTATGATTGAATTAGTTTTTGTAAACAAACTACTTCCTCAGCAAACTTAATGATGCTGCTAAAAGTAAAACGATGTACTTACAAGGCTAATGCTTATGCTCTTCCAGAAAATTGGTACTCGATCTACAATTAATTTACACGATGCAATAATATTGGTTAAAAAACATTTACTGTATGACATTGGATGAGTCACTTGTTGAAGATGCTTATCATTTGTTTTTTTGTTACTTTGTTCATACGTAGTTTTACTCTCTTTTTTTGATTATGCAATTGATATGCAACGAGGCATATTTTTAAATATATTTTTGTTACTTTTTTTTAAGTTTGTATGTCGCAATTAACCGTACGTTTTGTTAGCAGTTTATGAATTTGATTTAATTCTTGTGAAGAAGAGTGATTTGATGTTTCTTTGACTACTCAGATTTGTGGAGAAAAGCGGATTTTAATTTAATTTTTGATTTTCGTGATCTGCAGGAATTGGAAAGGTATTTGTTGCTGTTTGAACTCATAGCCATCATTATGAAAAGTTAATGAAAATCTAGTTGTCAGTAGCAGTTGAACTTGAAAGCATTGGTAATCATGTTACAGGAACCATGGTATGAATTTCACTTGGGAACATATTGCATGCAACTGTCTACTCTTAAATGCATGAAAACTTGCCATTTGACATCCTCTTTTGGTAAATTATATTGAAAGTGCACATCTGTTCCATGTTGTTTCCGGACAACCGAGGGCGCTGTTGCTGTTACGTCATTTCAGGAAGACACTGTTCAGTCTAGGGGGTTTTCTGTTCAAATGTGAACTCAAACATTTGCTCATTGTACACCATTGTTTTGTGAAAAATAGTTTGCTCATTGGCTTACTGCCATGTACTGAAACAACGAAAAACAAAGAAAGGAAATTTACGACTCGCAGCAAAATATTCAAAATTCTGGCAATTTTTTTGTGCTGAAAGAGCTGTAACATTGAGGTTTCTTCCTGAAATGACATCATACTTTTGCTCATGAATGTGGACATTTTCATTAGCATAAAAAGTCACCAAAATACCTTTGAAGCGGCAAAACGAAAATTGAAAATAAGGTGAAGTGGGACACAAAGGTGTATAGTCAAGGGTTGCACTAAAATAATTACATTGCATAGGCCCCTTAAGTTATATTACTTGATCATTTTCTTTGGCCAGTGCAGTGGTAATCTTATTCGACTAGCTGTGGAGTCAATGATTGTAAATATTCGTATTTGGTCAAAGAACATTTACGTATCAAGAATCAGTTATTTTTACAATCTGTTTGAATCACTAAGGCCTACATTTATCCGGTCAATGTTCTGTTATGTTCTGTATTAATGTAACAATGTTACGTAGTAGCAATGGAACTTCCACATTCGGAAGTTTGCATATTTTGTCGTAGAATTTCCATCATTGTCGTGGATGTTGGGTTCCACAACCTTGTCCCCGTGGTGTCAGAGCTAGTATGCTACACACACACACACATAGGGAACGAGGCTGGAGTTTCTGCATCTGATAGTGGAATTTCTGTTTTTGGACATACATGAAAAATGTCTGTTCAGTAGATTTAGATTTGTTTAAAGAAAATATGTGCTGAAACACTTAAACATGTTATCTGGAAATTTAGAGAAGTATGAGTCCACTAGATGCTCTTGCTGGCAGGAGAGGAGTATTTAATTTCCTTTCACCTTTTTCACCTTCCCCTTATGACGCCATAGTGAGGACAGGTGTTCGTTCCTCTGTGATATGTGCATGGTAGACACACTGTACATGTACTTTCATTGTCACTGAGTTTGCATCGGTGAGGGCGTACCGTACCATGCAAGGGGTCTAATTAGGAGCTATTTACGTATCTGCAGGTGTTGCATTGATTCACAAATGTTACTGTTTTTTTATTTTTATTTCCTTGTTTTTTTTTTTAACAGACACGCCTATAATTAGTAGTCTATGGAATATCCCCTTGCGCAGCAAGGGTATATGATATGCGGTGATTGATTATGCAAAACATGACTGCGTCTTGACCTCGAGATTCTGACCATTCAGCGGGCGCCTTGTATCGGGTCTTCTGTAACCCGTTTAAATATGTCAGCCAAATTGACCAATCAGCAGCTTCAGTCCACATTTCTGATCGAAATGACTTCTAAACAGTTTCTAAAGTCGACACCGATTGGCTGGCGCGCGGGGTCGCATAAAATTTGCATTGCTCAGATGTATCAGACGTTGGATACGGGAGAAGGCTCCGTGGGACAACGGTTGATACTCAGACTAATAACTATGGGCTATCAATAATAATAACTCAGACTAATAACTATTGGAGCCAGTTTGATTTTTGTAACCTGAATGCAAATACTGAACAATAATGTGAATATCTGTCACCCTTATTGAGCTAAACAATAGACCATTATTTCGTTTGTAAACACGGAGCGCCATTTTGCCATGGGCTGCCACAGCACAAGGGCAAACATTATGTCGTGGCTGGCAACAGATTTTGCCAAAATTGTTTATTAAAAACCCTGTGTAAGAAAGGCATTTGGAAAGAGTTCCATACCTTGACATCACTTGACACACTGTTCACAAATCCTGTGAGACTGGTCTGAAAAAGTGTTTTCTCAGTAAATGCTTCAATACTTTCCCTGCTTGACTTTTTAGGACATGTTATCGCTTTCTGATTGCTAAATTGGTCACTGCAGGGAGAACTAATTGATGTACAGGCATGAAATTCTTTCCAGGCATTTTATTAAGACTTTGTACCATTTTGTTGGTAATTATATTTTCAGGAACGTAATGATCTGTTTTGAAAATAATATCTTCTCTTCATTGTTTGCAAAGTTGGCCTTCCATATTTTGCCAACTTGTGGTTGGCGAAGTGCCAACATGCATATGCATTCATGCATACTTATGCATCATGCATGCTTATGCATTCGTGCATAATTACTTGGCAATTAAGAGTCGTCTCTTTACTTTCGACCGAATGTTTTGCTCGATTGATCAGTGTAGTCACTTGATAATACATGTAGATGTACTTCCATAGCTCAAGTTTATTAAAGCATTTGTTCCAATCAATGCCGCAATTGTTAACTTCGTTCTGTGGCATTCGCTTATGCATCGATAATTGTATAATTGTAAAAGAATATTTGGGGAAAAAAACCGTTTTCTTGGCGCACGAGGGCCATCGTAATAGTTATAGAATTCACTAAATATTTGAAATTAAGGTCTTTTAAGATCTCGAAAATCGATAAGAACCGTGAAAGATTGAATTTAATATATTATAAGGAA